AACGTTCAGTAATGGTGAATGCATATTGATTTATTTATAAAAATATTTGTTGAAGAAATTTTCATATATTCAAAACATAACACTAATTTAAAATTAAAAAATTATATATACATTTCATTTATAAAATAAAATAAACCTCTCAAATTTAAAGAATATTAAGTCCATTTTATATATGTACATTTAGCAATTTTTTCGTGAAAGTTTATACACTTTTGATATATCACAAGATTCCTTTTCAAACATAAACATTTAAATGTTTATCATATGTACTACATTTTATACATGTGGCAGTGATAATGACTTCTACAAAATGAAACATAATGTACCAAATATTCATTAACAAAAAATTACAATACAATCGTACCATGCACTTACAGAACACATTATTGTAAATAATGCTGTTCAAGAAATAGATTTTTTCATTTGCTAATGCTAAAACAATGGAGTACAATGTACACACTGCACTCTATAATGTATAATAAGACAAGGTATGAAAATGGTACTACTATAAGGAAGAGTTTTCAAGATGAGCCAAAAAGTAGATTTACTGCATTGACAAAGCATTCAAGTTATATAAAATGTATGCTTGTAAATGCATAATACCATTGGGTTCTTATGAATCAAATTTCAAAAAAGTAAATTTTCTATAATTGTTGGTATGAAACACAATATAATACATATACATCTTCATATTTTATGTACAACTTTATACAATAGTATAAATATAAAGTGATGTGCACTTCATCACAAATACATTAAATTTACACTTCTTTTTAAATGTTGATTATCTTCACTAACACTATTATTTTTCTTGTCACAATACTATAACAGTTTTATTGTCTCTTGTTAGTATTGATTTATACAATTTTAATACCAGCATCTATTTGAACTCTAGCTAATGTCTTTTTAACGCGCATTGCTGTTAATCGTACTGCTGGATTATGGTGCCAGCATTCTTGCATAACTTTAGAGATAGCTCTTAATGTTTCACAATTTGACCACCTAATTGGAATTTCAGGCCTTGTCCTATTGACGCATACACATTGGCGCATATCTTCAAAACTAGGATCAGAAGGAACAAATCCTTCATAGGGCAAAGAATAGTCATCGGCTACAAGTGTTGACCCTCCTTTAGAAGGTGTGGCACAACGTCGAGCAATTTCCCAGAATACCAGACCTAAAGAATACATATCTGCCATTCGGAAAGCATCAAAGTTAGATGTCTTCAATGTTTCGTCCAAAAGTTCAGGAGACATGTAACGTCTAGTTCCAACTCTTGTATTTGTTCCTATGTCTATTTTATCTGATTCACTAACATATCGAACCTACAAAAAATAATTAAAATTGATTATTTATAACTCACAATTTATTATAGTTATTTCACTTTTGAAAAACAATGATTAAAGAATGCAGGAATCAGATGCTTCATTTAGAAGTTTTTTGCTTTTTAAATCAACTTTAAGTTTAAAGAAATACATTATTATCATAAAATTCAAGTGGCAAATATGTGATATTGTGTAAGTTTTAAGTGTAGCATATCAAAAATGAGAAAACTTACCGCCAAACCAAAATCAGCAAGTGCACATTGACCATCCCGCTTGACCAATATATTCTTACTTTTAATATCTCTATGTGCAATTGCTGGTTTTGCCTTTTGTACCAAACACTTCAGTATGTAAATGTGCCAAACCAGATGCAACCGACAATGCTAATGTTAGCATTGAAGCAATATCCAGTACTCTAAGTTGAAGATAATCATGCAAAGAACCTCGCTCATGGTAATCGGTGATTAATAGCATTTGGGTCCAAGAACCAGTGCCTTTAATATCTGCTGCTATAAAACCCAAGATATTCTCATGACGCATTAGAACTGTTTGATAAATTTCTGTTTCTCTGAACCAAGATGCTTCTTCAGTTGTTATAAATACCTACATAATTAAAGAAATATTATTACCTTTATAAAAATTTAAATATCTAATCATATCGTATTCCAATTTCTCTACCTTTACGGCAACACGTTCTCCTCGCCATTTCGCTAGCCAAACCTCGCCATATCTTCCTTTGCCAACTGGATGAAACATTTGTATTTGCTTAGCAATTGTTCTTTGTACTAATAATGGTAAACCAGACCCTGAACTAGAAGACTTTTCAATAAGATTCTGTAATGTGCCCGATGAATCAACACCTTGCGATCGTGGCAAACATCCATTTTCTTCATCTTTATGACGACGTACTGCCAGCAAAGCACCACGTTTTCGAAATCCTTTAACAGAAAGAACAAATTGATATACTAATATAATCACCAATATTAATGGTATCCTGATAATATTAAACATATTTTTTCTTATAATTACTGATAGGAATGTAGGCATTCTTATGAAATTTTATCATTGAAACCTTATAATAGATATAAATATCTTCTTATATTAGTATACACAGGTAACATTAATCTTTTCAGTATTTTTCTTTGTTTTTGAATGTGAACATAGAAATAGTTTGACATAACTAATAATATTTTTATTTAGGTATATTATTACAATAGTTGCTCCAAACAAGAACAGTATGTGAGATTTTACCCATTTTTCTATTACGATGATACTTACTGCCATATTTCAACAGAACTCCTATGAGTCCGGCTAGAAGAAGTAATAAACAAGCCGCTAATGCTGCAAGTAAAGCGACTGAAGGGGCTGCTTCCGTCATTACTGGTGCGCCTCCTGGCGTGTCCAATCCTTCCAAGCCTGAATCTATAACAACGCGTGGTGTTGGTGGTTCGGGCAACAAGTCTCGATTGCACCAGTCGCCTGAATCGCAGCATTCGATGGTTTTGGCTTGTGTATGAGGTACTTGGGACGCTTTACACTGAGGAAAAACAAAATACTTGTTATAGAAGTGAATGATCACGGACAATATAATATGTCATTAAAAATCGTATTACTGTATAATCCTGAAAACTATATCTCTTAATAAGCTCAAACTCCGACGAAAAAAGATATATAAGAATACAGTGCTACCCCAGCATACGAGTGTTTCGAGACTCCGCAAAAGGAGCGATTTGTTGCTTCGACATATAAGCAAAATTTAGAGTTAGTTAAGATGACCAGTGATGACGATAAGTTTAAAAGGAAATTAAAGAAATATTATAAGGAAATTGAAGATGAAGAAGATTGAAAAGTTATATAAAGATATTTTAATTATAATAAATATTATATTAATGAAATAGCCAAATAAACTGTATATATAAAATATGAAAACTGTTTTCATAATCTCTCATACCTGGCACCTCTGTCTGAGATATGAAAATAATATATATACATAAATAAATAAATAAATAAATATAAAAAAAAAAAAAAATGAGATACAAGCTTGCTATGAGTAAGAGTTTTCTCGAAAAATATTAATGATAAAATAAAAATATGAACAATTTCGTCATTTGTAAAATTGATTATAACTGCCATAAAATTATTTTGAATATTTTATGATAGTAAATTAGAATTGAAACCAATTGCTTCGAGATACGAGCGTGGTCACAGAACGAAGGTGTCACTGTATCACTGTATCACTTGTCGAGGTATCACTGTATGCTAATAACAAATTATTTCGGTATATTACCATAGCAGTTTAAATAAAGATAGTAAAAATAGTTTAATAAATTATGATATAATCCAAGTAAGCTATTGAAACTGTAATATAAGTTTACCTGCATAAGTCCTGGTTCGTGAGGTGGTAAACATCCATAACTTCGTTCGTGAACATATTTACCGGTGTCCCTGTCCCAAACAGTTTCTAATGCACTGAAACAATATCCGCCTGCACTGGTTCTACATGTTCCGTTTACAGAACCGTCTGGACACTGTCCGTCACAGTAACATGATAAACCACCGCCTGGAACAAAAACAAAAGAATTGTTATATTTTTTACTGAATTTAATAAACTTCTTCTAGCTATTTGTTGTATACCTGATCATAGTTAAATATTTGTAATAAGTACAGTCAGTCAAATATAATGTCAATAACAATTTTCAAGAAACCACCGGATATAAAAAGCCTGTATTTTATTTTGTTACATTTTTATATATGATTCGAGTCAGGGACATATTTATATATACACAGACTTTTTTATTGATTAAATGAATATAACTGCAGTGAAAAAATAATAGACAAATCTTCAAATATGCCGCAAATTAAAAAAAACATTACACAAATTATTCCAGAAATGCAGAAAAATGTATTGAATTTTTTCATATAAAACGTAATCAATTTATAGATTTCATTACTCATTCGTTCATTCATGATTTAAATGACACTGCCGGTATTTTCTATTGCATACTTAGAGCAGTGAGTCATTATATATTTTTATACGTTTATCGAAGAATTTCAGTGGTTAAGAAAAAAAATGCAAAGCGCATGTATTGCAATAAATCAAATAGCAATCGAACATGTATATTCATAAAATCAGTTCGAAGTAAAATTAAAGGTTGGCAGTAGAGTTATAAATAAAGATTTTGATAGGCCTGATTGGGGTTAGTATTTCCCAAACTTATAACTGCCAAGTCCTAAATCGTTCTAATATCAATACTAATTTTACCCATATGCGCAAATAATGTATAATCATTTTTCAAATTAAATTAAAATTAAATAAATAATTAAATTTCTTCAATAAGTCTTTTGTATCCATCATCAATGAAAGTTAGACAATTATAATTCTGATATACTGAATTTTGAAATATTAGTAATTATTATGGACAAATCCTTTATTTTAGCATGAAAAATAATTGGCATGGATGGAAATAAATCTATGTATATCGCAATTAGATGGAAATTGTACTGAACCTAAACTTTATATACGATATTCATAGTATATATAAATATAAATATATATATATATATATATATATATCCAATGTGATGAAAGACTTGCAGAGTTAGACAATATGTGGGTAGTGTAAGAGTTTAGATAACTGCAATGTACACCTGGTGCAATAGTAGCCCACGTAAGAAAGATATATATATATATATATATATATATATATATATAACTATTATACGATATAAAATCAAATGCAGTATTAAATATAAAACTAAGAAATAGAGCTAAAGAAAGACAAACTCTCGTCCCAATGTTACGAACCAATGTCCTCTTTTACAATTAGATTGAATCATCCAAGTTGCTATATCATTAATTTTGTATGAAAATTTGCATATCTGGCATGTAAAATGAATAATCCATCTGTATATACATGATAAAATGTGAATAGTTACTAGAATAACAATAATAACACATCCAGCACTGTGATCTATTTTCTTTTAATATAGATCGATTATCCCTATATTGTGCTCTCTATATTGTGTTCTTTCTATATTGTATATCTCTATATTGTGTTATTTCTCTAATTGTGAATTATATTTAATTCGAAATGAGTTTCTGTTAAGCATAACATTTAGTCTATGAGTGAGTTAATTAAATAAACAGGCCTGATACACCCAAACTAATATATAAAAATCTAATGAATTTCAAAAATGCAATTTTATTACAACATGCTTATTCGACCAATTTTATGCCATAGAAACCTCTGAAACAACAATATTTAACTAGGCATTAATTTTTGTAAAGAATCATATACTTTGCTTTTCATAACAATCAATTCAAACATCGGACATTGGCAATAAGAGAAGACAATAGAATGATTTATCATGCTACTGGTTTTATGTTTCATAACCGTAAAAATAATATTCACCATTATAATTCATTGGCATAAACAAATTCATTTGTTTTAGCTACTCATCGATAAAGTTTATGGCTATTCAGAGTGCGTAAAATAACAGTACAAATAAATTTATTATTATTTTACAACTATAAATTGTAGATCGGAGGTTTAGCGTTACTACTGATCTCTTAACAAAGAAAAGATGGGTAGACAGGTAGACATCATAGTAGCAAAGAATAGACAGATAGACATCGTTTGCCGGAAGAAGTAAAATTAAATATTACAACATTATTGCAAATGTTGATAATCATCTGCTTCTCGCTTAATTTTTTTTTCATGATTATTTTTTATTCAATTAATAAGTAATATGTGTTTTTACTTAAATATTTAGAAATTAGAAATTTATAGATCTATATCTGGTAAATAACGAGGTCCATGCATGGACAATATAATGCGTATTCAGAAGATCTATGGATCCATGGGTCCATAGTATATTCGATGTGAATGAGATATGTCGTTATTCCATCCTCTTCCATAAATATTCAAATCTATAGCGTTCTATAATAAAAATATGATGTAAAATAGATTTAAGATAACATAAAATAAAATAATTAATTTTTCTAATTACAACCGTTTTCGTATCATTTTATTACCATTGAGTAGACTCACTTCCCCAAACTGCGACACTTCGTCTAACAAAACGCTGAGAGATGCCGTTCGTCGTCACAACATTGTATCGCGCTGATTTTGTTCAAAAAGCAGTAAACAAAAAACGAGACATCCAAGTGACGTCATGTGATAGTGTGTAATATATAATGAGTTTTGTCGTCGTGTAGGTACACGCCAGAGTTTAATAATAAAACATTAGTGTAAGAGCATAGGATAAGATCAGTATAAATGATAAGTTTAAATTCCACCATAGTATTCAACTATGGGGATCAGCTTCCAAATCAAACTTGATGAAAATTCAAAGATGCTGAAATAAATTATTAAAAAAAATTTTGAAAGCCCCAAAGTTTGTAGCGAATTTGTTAACACTTTCCACTAGCGAATTCCGAGTTTTATCAATTGGTGGAGCGACTAGGGCGGATGCTGAGCACGCCAAATGACCAAATCAGCTTCCAAATCAAACTTGATGAAAATTCAAAGATGCTGAAATAAATTATTAAAAGAAATTTTGAAAGCCCCAAAGTTTGTAGCGAATTGGTTAACACTTTCCACTAGCGAATTCCGAGATTTATCAATTGGTGGAGCGACTAGGGCGGATGCTGAGCACGCCAAATGGGGACCAAATCAGCTTCCAAATCAAACTTGATGAAAATTCAAAGATGCTGAAATAAATTATTAAAAGAAATTTTGAAAGCCCCAAAGATTGTAACGAATTTGTTAACACTTTCCACTAGCAAATTCCGAGATTTATCAATTGGTGGAGCGACTAGGGCGGATGCTGAGCACGCCAAATGGGGACCACATCAGCTTCCAAATCAAACTTGATGAAAATTCAAAGATGCTGAAATGAATTATTAAAAGAAATTTTGAAAGCCCCAAAATTTGTAGCGAATTGGTTAAGACTTTCCATTGGCGAATTCCGAGATTTATCAATTGGTGGAGCGACTAGGGCGGATGCTGAGCACTCCAAATGGGGACCAAATCAGCTTCCAAATCAAACTTGATGAAAATTCAAAGATGCCAAAATAAATTGTTAAAAGAAATTTTGAAAGCCCCAAAGTTTGTAGCGAATTGGTTAACACTTTCCACTAGCGAATTCCGAGAATTATCAATTGGTGGAGCGACTAGGGCGGATACTGAGCACGCCAAATGGGGACCAAATCAGCTTCCAAATTAAACTTGATGAAAATTCAAAGATGCTGAAATAAATTATTAAAAGAAATTTTAATAATTAATTTTTTTTAAGCCCCAAAGTTTGTAACGTATTGATTAACACTTTCCACTAGCGAATTCCGAGATTTATCAATTGGTGGAGCGACTAGGGCGGATGCTGAGCACGTCATAATGGAGTGCAAAAAAAGGGAAAAGGGTAGGCAAGAACTATGGAGGGAGATAGTACGGTAAAAATTCTCTCCCCCGACCAATTTTATAATATTATTGACAAAGAAAAGGATATATGGTGCACTATACAAGTATACACAAGCAAATAAAATGAAAGTGTAAAGATTAATTATAAAATGTGTGATGACTAATGTACGTGTATACAAAGTCAACAAATAAACAATAAAAAAAATTCAAAATTCACATGCCCAAATTGACATATTTTGGAACAAGATATTTTCTGGGATTTTTCTTTAAGATGCTGATAAATTATTGCAAACGCTTTCAATTAACCACTAAAACCATCTTTAAAAAAAGTTAAAAAGTTAAAAATTTATCTTAATTTTTTGATAATTTCAAAAACATATTTCATGTACTATAAGTATCTACCAGCTCTCCTCTTATGAATTGACTAAATACATTGGGATACATCGGAGGCATCTGTCTGAGATATTTGCGTCCCGCATCTCGGAATCCCGCGACACGAGCGGAGAATTTTCCGACCAAATAAAACGGCTGAGACCAGGAATAATGAACATTTTATCTAAATATATTCACAGAAAATAATGGTAAATAATTATTAATATTAAATCATAATTGATAATCACTGAAAAATGTATAACACCTTGAAAAAAAATGGAAAGAACATATTTTTATGCATATTAAAAATGTAAGTATGTCTAATACATTAGAGTCTTTTGTTAAATCGTAGTAGAATAGCTTGTAGAATTATTTGTAATTTTGATTGCTTTGTTAATAATAATAAAATAATGTTATAAAATATTTTTAAATATAATAATATGCAAGCAGTGTCTTATCAACCATGATTCTAATATTGAAAATACAAAAAAAAAATATTCATTGTCAATATTAAGTGATCATAAATCGCGCAGTGTTACAATTGAATTACTAAAAAATTTCAGAGATATCATTATATCTTATAATATATAAATTTTAAGTTCAAGGAGTACACTGTTACAATCGAATCTAAGATTTTTCACTAATTAGTAGTTATATAATTCAAAAAAATT